ACGAGGTGTGTGGAGAGTTATAGGATCATGGTTTATGAGTAGAAGTCGTTAGTAGGATAAGGAATTTTACGGTCAGCCTTCGCCGTGTTTGGTTGTTTGTTGTCGTTTTTGTATAATTTTAGAGCTGTACTTGCAAACTACCTTAAGTAACTGTATATAACAAGTACCATACCCTAAAACCCCAAGGGTGGCACCACTGCCTTGGTTGGGGGTACATGTTCCCTGTTTTTCCACCTGCTGGTTTTTAGGGTTTTTCGTGTCTGGCTTTGGTGTATTTTATTACTTCAATCATAAAAGACTTTTGTAAGCATATGGATTTGGCGTTACATAAGTGGTGGCTTGGCTGGCCAACGCATCCAGATATCAACTTTTTGTATGCACGGTTGAGTAGTGGAGACAAAATGTATTGGATATGTGGGTATGATATGCAAAACTAGTGTGAGCGTATTTTAGTATAATGGTGGCATTTGTGATAGCAAAGTAATGCTATTTTTGCTTATGAAAAGCTTCTAGTGTGTTCGGTTAGTTCCTGCCAGTCCCTCCCCAAATAAAGTTATTTGTCAACAAGCTTTGCTGTTTACATGCTGTTGAGTGGACAATAAATATCATGCTATCTTTACTTATGAAAAGCTTCTATGCAGGTTATGTAGTACTGTGTCGTTTCCTAGTAATTAGGATTACTATACCTCTTAGTGTAAATGAAGCTGAATTCGAGATTTTTGACTTGATTTGGTAGCCTACAAGTTTTTTTTTCTGTTCGGGTCTTAACATACAGCAACTTAGTCTGACATTCCTTGAAAGAAGTCTCCTTTGAGTCTGTTCTTTCTTCCAACAAAATATTTTGATCACAAATGGGGAAGTAGATTATATGCCAGCACCACTTTTTTGAAGATAGAGAGGGAGTTTTAATTTCTCATCTAGTAACTTACAAATTTATCTGAATGTATATTTCTGAATTTTTTGTATTAATGTATGAAATTTAATTCAAGAATTTTGTACATATAATGTATGAATTCTGCCACATGCGGATCTGCTTAATGTTTGGGTTTAGTTTAAAATTAAAAAGCCATATTCTAAAAAGGTTATTTCAAGATTTTAAGTGATACGTCTCCTAATTCAAGAATGCTATTGTGTCATCTGGTTTGTTGGTAAAAAGTAAATTCCTACTTTCGTTTTGAGCTATAACAGACCAAAAAGGTTTTTTTTATCCCAGCAGCTTCCTAGATGTTTTAGAAAAAAAAATTGAAAGATGTACGAAATGAGACATTCAGTATGGCAGATAACCCAAATTGTTACTCCCAAGTTCATGAGTAATTCTCTTTAATAATGACAAACTGTCTGTTTCATTTTGTTGTAATATTCTCGGATGACTGTCGGCACTCTTAAGTTATCATTTAGCATTCCAGTATCGTACCCCTTTAACCCTGGGCATACTCTCTAATCCACCGTCCCGTACTCCACTGTCCGCACCATATTTGGTAAAGTGATCATGTGACCAAAATAATTTAAAACTACTTACACCCAAAGCGAAATTTTCTTTCATAATCAACGCGGAAGGTTTATCTTTGACTGCGCTGACTTCCTAGTGAGGGAGCATTGGCATCAATCATGGGTTGAGTTCAATTCTTTTTCAGCTCGTAATTCTGCGAGTGATTGGTTAACCGGCGAAGTTGTGATCATCCCTTTTAGAGGCTTTCAGCAGTGGAAACCAGTGGCAATAATCAGCAACAGCTTATTTGTGCGTCAGTAATCAAAGGTATACAGTTGAGGAACTAAGATTTTTCTACGTTTCAGATATATGCCACTTTCAGATATTAAGATCCTCTTCATATCTTCACATGTGAAGGTTGTCTTTATGCTATTTATCGTGAGAAAACATGCAAATTCCCAGCGTTCGTGACGTCTTAGTGTGTCGAGTTTGCAACGTTTGCGTCGATTGGAAACTAACATAAAGCTCTTCTTCTTTGTCAACTCAAGGTTTCTTCTTCCGAATAAGTCCATTCAGTTAGGGATGTATCTGATTTTGTTAAAGTTTCTCTATTTAATGTACGTTATAAGTGTGACTTGATGTGCGTGTTGTCCCAGGATTTGCATCGTCTGTGCCTTCATTGCATCGAATGTCGATACAACTGTGAGGTGTTACTAGCGAGATGGTACCAAAAACGTGGTACCATGAATTATGCACGTTTTCAGTCGACTTGTCCGAATAACTGATGGATTATCTGTGGTATGTGGAACACTTTAATTTAAGGTTTGTGGAATTTCGTACAGCTGAAATGGTTAGTAATCCACGCATAAGAAATGTGTTTCAAACTCAAATTTGCATCTCATTTTCATTGCCATGAAGACATTTCTCGAAGATAGCTTGCTCATTTAGAATATGGATTTATTTGCGATAATCAGCAACTCACTCTTGAAGTAGAAGGCAGAGTAAATAAACTTCTGGGTTGTGTCACAAACTTTGATTGGGTAAAATTTCCGCACAGCCCCCTACTACATTATGCATTCAGTTCTTGGATAGAGAAAACAATGACAAAAATAGTACTTTGCCATAGGGAAAACAGATTTGTTTTACAATAGTATGAGGCTGTGCGGAAATTTTACCTTTAATTGTCTCCGCATGAATAAGAATAGGATCTCAAAACTTTCAGGTCTTAGTTCGCAAATGGAAATGTTAGAATAGGGATTTTTGATGAAACTTTCAAGAGCTATAGCTTTTTGCGACTGCAAAATTCCAATCCTATAGAGGACTTTTATGCAAATTTCCTTAATTTATGCTCGAGGTCCTTGAGAGAGCAGCTGTTAATTTAAGCAGATACTAGAAGATACGAATGCCAAGTCCATGGCATTCATAAATCCTTTAATGAAATTAGTGTAGTTTACTCTGTATGCTCTACTTGTCACCACTGTATCGAATCGATAAGGGTTTTTAATAACTGGAATGTGAAAATGTATCGGTTGTGACACTTTTGCATGTGGTTTTCGGTTTTTATCAAATTTTTTTGGGTTTTCGGTTTTGGATGATTTTTTCTACAGTTTTGTGGTTTTTTATAGACCCCAATGCCCCCCCTTAAAGGGTAACTGACGGCTCAAAGGTCACTTAAACGGAATACTATGTAAATGCCTCAGGTAACACGTTGAAACAACGCTTGTGGCGCTCATAACCAGGCGTTTCTTGCGACATCCATTTACAGTATGTTTCTGTTCTTATACACTTCCATTGGAAGTTAATTAAACTTAGGCAAACGAATGTGTTATATATGCTGCTCAATGTTAGTTGTAATCATTCCTGGAGAACTCTCAGCTAGAGACGAAATGTGTCGAAAGAAATATACAAAAAATTTAAACCAACTAAAGTCTTCCTTTGTGTGGCTCACTAGTCTCCGTTAATAAAGTATAACAAAAAAGGACAATTCTTGTACATTTCCAGAAGATGGAAGAAGAGTTACATTCACCAAACCAGATTATGACCTCCCATAATACGCGACAACACCTTGCGCCTAGTCACGCTCACTCCAGAACCGGTGGGCCTGAGGTCATAGTGATATACACCGGACAAAGTCTAAAGTCAAATACTTTTCAACATGGACTAAAAAAATATTTCTTTGAGTACGGGACTCGATAATGTTTAAGAAGAAAAAATTATGGGAATACTTTTACAGCTGGCATGCAAATTACCTGTGGCTCTGAATACAGACATGCGATCCGTCGCATTTCGATTATTCAACCTTCATTATTTTATTTCTCTCTTCGTATTTCATAGTCTCTAAATGGTAGCCTATATCATGATGGAACAAATCTTTTTTCGCTTGTAAATTTCGGCAGCGGCTGAACAGTGAGGGCAAAGTTGTTACTTTCAGGTCTTGACTAACCCTTTTTACTGCAGTACATACGTGTGACGTATCACATCACGTGACCTGAATTGGAACGTTTTCAAAATGGCCGTCCATTAAGGGTCAAAAAAAATTTGTAGAAAATTTGGTTTTGCACAATATATTGTTTATTTGTTCATTTAGGATTCTTTAACCTAAGAGGAATGTATTAGGAGAAAAAAAAGGAGGGGGGGAATTTGACGTCAGTAACCCTTTAAACTTTATTTTCGAGCTAAGCCCCTATGGAAATAACTTCTTTTATAAAATGTGTCTCAGGTACTCGACAAGTTAACTTTTTGACAATCTTTGAAGGTTTTGCTCAGTGTCTTTTTGAGGTGATAAATCTCTGAATTACACTGGCTCACATATCTTAGATTATTATCAAACCAAAACATCTCCCATGAAACGTCTTATAAACAATTATTGTGATCCGATCCCTTTACGGGAATGAAAGACTCAACCTTGTTTCTAGGGTCCTTTCTCTCTTTCTACCTGAACCCTTAAACCTCTAAGGGGTGACTAGCATCTAAATTATCCTTACAACATCAGCCCTGAATCATGCATTAAGGTCATGAGAATAAAGGAAATGACCACTAGCCAAAGAAGCTCTTGATTGTTAAACAAATTCTCCTTGTCAGCACCCTAGGAAATGTACAGAGAATTGTATGGAGAATATACATACTGATTTTATGGTGTAAAGGGTTAAGATAGTAGCCGTAAGATTTGTCCTAAGAAACAAAACTTCTCATTTCAAAAAAATCTAACAGCTAATAGAAATAAGATCCTGGTCTAATGGTGTTTGCTGTTCACATGGTATTCCTTTAGCTGACATCTCTGACATCCATTTCATAAGTAACCATTTGATAATGAAAAACAAAGTGCAGGATGGAACTCAAAAAAGAGCTCCACAGTAGCTGACAACTAGCACTTTCTATGCAACAAAAAAACCATGATATTAAATATATGAGAAAATAAAGGTGTCCTGAAAAGGTTCAGTTAGACTCTGGTACTGCCCTAAGTGGTCTCAACAACACTCTAAGAGGATATAGAAAGCCTCAATGGACTGTGAACTCACATTTTGTATTATTTTTTTCTAGCAAAATTTTTCAAAATTGAAAGCTTCCTGTGATGTCAAGGCTACAAAAGGTATTGGGAATCTAAATCTATTACGAATACCAACCTTTGATTCTGATAAAAACATTCATTCACCCCTTTGTTTTTTCACCTAAATGTCTTCAATGAAACTGCACTGTACATGTACCAATTTTAAAGTGAATTGTTGAAACTTTCCTTGTAACTGTAATGGTTGTTATCAGTGAGTGTTGCAACAGTGACAGTGTAGCTCTCTAAATTAGCAATTTAATATTTTTCTGGTTTAAATTTCTCTCAATCTACACGTATCTGACTTTTTGGTATAGCATAAAACTCAACTGCAAGTTTTCAAAATAATGGGCATTACATACTGAGTGGACATCCATTATTGTGATTTATAATTGTTTTAAAGCTTATTGTTAATACCATTCTTGTTTTGTTGTTGTAGAATTCCACTATTTGTGGTTTAACCTTTACATCACAGGAAAACCAGGAAAACAGGACACTGAAAGTCACCTTGCTAAGTAGTGAGTGGAAATCATCAACTGATGGGGACTTATCAATTATCAACCGAGAGCTGGCCATCCAGTTAGCAAAACACCCCAATGTGGATATTAGTGTCTTGCTTCCAAATTGTAGTGGAGAGGACAGGAGCAGTGCTAAACGTCACAATGTGAAGCTTATCAAAGCAGATAGAGTTTTGGGTGAAGGGCCAGTTCTTTGCCTGTTATATCCTCCAAAGAACCACACAATGGACTGTGTCATTGGTCATGGAGTTCGCCTTGGCCAACTAGCTGCATCCATCATGATAAATTCAAATTACAGTCATTGCAAATGGATTCAAGTTGTTTCCTCTGCTCATGAAGAAGAAGGAATGTGCAAAAACATTACAGAAGGTGAAACAAGGCACAAAATAGAAATCCAATTCTGTAAAATGGCTGACCAAGTTATCACAATTGGACCCAAGCTGGCAGAAGCTTACAAGCGTTACCTTAGTCCAGTTAAACAAGAGGAAAAGGTTTTTGACCTTACTCCTAGCATTTTCTCTAAATTTTTGGAAGTAGAGCAAGCCACTAAAGAAAGAAAAACCTTCTGTATTCTTCTTAATGGAAGTGGTCACAGCTGTGAAGATTTCAAGGTCAAAGGGTACGATATAGCTGCCAAAGCAATTGCTGAGTTGAAAGATGAATCCTACAAACTCAAGTGTGTCTGCGCAGCTGAGGGAGAAGAAAATAGTTTGGCAGAACAGTTGCTCGACCATGGCATTAGTCGCAAGCAGCTTACTGTTTGCAGCTTTGATGATAGCAGAGAAGTGCTGGCTGATTTATTCTGTGAAGTGGATCTTGCAATAATGCCATCCAGGGCAGAAGGGTTTGGAATAACAGCTCTGGAAGCATTATCTGCTGGTCTGCCTGTACTTGTCAGTGGTAATTCAGGACTTGGAGAAGCTCTGAAGGAAGTGCCTTTAGGCTCACAGAGTGTGGTAGACTCTGAAGATCCTAAAGACTGGGCCAAAGAAATCAAGCGTGTCCGTCAGAAAAAGAGAGAAGTGCGACTTTCAGAGTCAAATCTTTTATGCCAAGAGTACTTGAAGAAGTATAGCTGGGAGGAGCCTTGTAAGAATCTTGTGAGAAAGATGAGGAACCTTGTCTTTGGTAAATTTACTTAAATTTAAATGTTACAGCTTCAACTTGGCTAATAACTGATAAACCAGGTAAACTAGTTAAACGTTGAATCAGCCTTGGTTGATATCTTTTTTAGATTAACTTTTTTAGATTGACTTTTTTAGATTAAAAAAAAAATTGAAAGATAAGTATAACAGAGTCAAAGTCTTTTGTGTGAATGATGCTTAAAACAGGCAAATCCTCTGGTTGGGTAATTTGTCAGCAACCTGTCGTGCACATGTATATGAATAGAGTAATGATCATCAAGTTGTTTTTCTTTTAGGTGAGAGTGAACAAGCCATTGGTAATCTTCAACAGTGGCAACAGAATGCCAGTATATGTAAGATCAGCAGCAACACAGACCTACCCTCAGACTTAAAGAAGATTGCTTCAGAAAAGGGCGACAGAATATTCGACAATCCAGGGTCAGGAAATTGTATGTTCCATGCCTTGTCAGAGCTACTGGAGATGGTCAGAGGAGTAGAGATTCCTCATTTTGAATTAAGGCATTCCTTGGTGCAGTATCTAAGAGAGCACCCAAAACAGGTGAGTATTCGCTAAAGTGCATATAATGTCCAGGACAGAGACTATAAATGTATCTTCTTGTCTTTGTATCATTACAATGTCTTTCTTTCTTGTTTTAACTTATTGCTATATTATTTTAGAACAACTGTGCAAAGTGTAATTTTGATGAATTTGTTTATAATCATTCATTTAAATTGATCTTTTTTTTGTTATTGTTTTAAGGATTAGATATCTTCGTTGTAAAAAGGGAGTAGCATTGAGGACTATTGAGCCTAGCAAAGAAAGGGTCTTGCATCTGTCTTTGAACACTTTTGAAGTTAATATTTATTAATATTCATGAAAATGTTACAATATTGAGTCCTTACTGGACTAGTTGCTCATAGACTATTACTATTAATAATACATTTTATCTTGTTGGACTTTCTCTTAAAGGTGGATGGAAGAGATCTGTTTCACTTTGTTGATAGACACGCAACATGGGATGGTTACTTAACAGACATGGAACAACATGGTACTTGGGGTGATCATGTGATTCTCTGGGCTGCAGCAAACTGTTATCAATTAGCCATTCATGTGATTGGTAGTCTTCCAGGCAATAGTGAGGTAATTATCAAACCAGATTTTCCATTTGGCCAAAGGAAGCATCTTGTACAGGAACATGTTCATGAGGTGCGCCATGTTAGCCTTCAGCTCTTGCAAGGTGAGGCTTAGAACATAACACACATAACACATTTAAAAATGGACCATTCGTGAATTTTGCAAACGAGATATTTCAATTATCATAACCGAGTGCATTCTACAACTGTATTTCAGTCCTATACAGCTACAGGCTGTACATATATATACAAACTACCACTTTATAAAAGCTTAAACAGCTGACTGTTTTTATTTATCTGTGATGTGAATAGACCTCTGTAGCTTGTACACGTACTGTTTGTTTTGTTTACCCATTTCAGGTTTTGTGATATTTACTCTGGAGAACCTTTTCTTTCCTCTCTGGGCCCATTTTATGAATATAGATTACAGTAGTTGCATTTATGATTTGTAATAACTTTTTTCTTCAAACACAGAGTTATCTCAAGTAAGGAAAGAACCAATTGCAGAACCTGATTTGAAAAGTTATGACATGAGGACCCTACTTGATTTTACCAATATCAAATTTTAAAATTGTTAAGTCTGAAAACTTCTCTTACATAAGAAATTCAGTATATTCTTATGATATAGGTTGTTCCTCCACTGCCACTACTAAAATCATGATGTACTTGCCACCGCATGCTGTTGGCAATTGTTGTTAACAATAACTACTTGGGTGCATGTAGGTTCTTCAGAAATTAAGGCAACTATACTAGTGAAGGGTAAGAGACCAGCATCTGTCAGTGCAGATCAGCTTTGCAAGCGACACAGGAACCAGTTGACTATTCCTGACTACTGTGAAGGTAAATTGTGAGGGAATGAGGTGAATAATCCAATCCAAATTGCCTATTTGATATCTAGCTCATGAAAACAAAAGTGTTAGTACAGGTTGGTACTTAACAGGCATTTTTGGAGACAAACTCCTTGTTATCCCCTCTGTGTTGATTTATCTTTCTGTTGAGTGAAATGAGACTTTAAGGTTATAATTACCCTCTTATAGTCTTCCGCCAATGCAGCACCAAAAGTTTTCAGAAACTTACCCCCTTCATTAAAATCCTCTTGTAGTTGATCTTTCTCAGTATACCTTTGTCGTCACACTATTATTTTGCAACAAATTCTTGAAAAATATCTTAAGCTTCAAGAACAGTGGTTCCCTCTGCTTCCAAATACTCAATCCTCGACCCATGTAGTTCTTTCTGTTTTCTTTTTAAGCCATATGCCATGCTTTTGTCAGCAACCTGTCATGTATATGTAAAAGAATGAAGTAATGATCATTTAGTTGTTTTTCTTTTAGGTGGGAGGGAACAAGTTATCAGTAAACTTCAACAGTGGCAACAGAATGCTGGTAGATGTAAGATCAGCAGCAACACAGAACCCCTCTCAAACTTAAAGAAGATTGCTTCAGAAAAGGGTTATAGAATTTCTGACAATTCAGGGTCAGGAAATTGTATGTTCCATGCCTTGTCAGAGCAACTGGAGATTGTCAAAGGAGTAAAGATCCATCATTTTGAATTAAGGCATTCCTTAGTTCAGTATCTCAGAGAGCACCCAAAACAGGCGAGTATTTGCCAAAGTGCATGTAATGTCCAGGACAGATACTACAAATGTATCTTCTGCTTCACATTCAATTTAAATGTTAGGAATTATTATTAGAACATTTTAAGGGCTTTGATCAGGAAAAAAATCAGTGTGTGTGTGATACATGAAGTTGAAGTTGACAATTAAAAAGGACAACTTGTCTTTGCATCAGTACAATGTCTTTCTTTCTTGTTTTAACTTATTGCTATGTTATTTTAGAACTGTGGGAAGTATAATGCTGATCAACTTGTTTATAATCATTAATTTGAATTGATCCCTTTTTGCTATTATAATATTAAAGATTAGATATCATGATGTTACTTGTAAAAATTACTCATTCCAACGTATACAGAGAGTACTGTAAGGGACTATTGACCAAGCGACTAAAGAGTCTTGTATTTATCTTTGAATACCTTTGAAGTTAATATTTATTATTTAAAAATATTGCCATATTGAGTCATTGTTAGACTAGTTGCTATATTAATATTAATATAACATGTTATCTTGTGGGACTTTCTCTTAAAGGTGGATGGAACAGACCTGTTTCATTATGTTGATAGACACACAACATGGGCTGATTACTTAGCTAACATGGAACAACATGGTACTTGGGGTGATCATGTGATTCTCTGGGCTGCAGCAAACTGTTATCAAATTGCCATTCATGTGATTAGTAGTCTTCCACACCACAGTAAGGTAATTATCAAACCAGATTTTCCATTTGACCAAAGCAAGCATCTAGTACTGGGACATGTTCATGAAGTACACTATGTCAGCCTTCAGCCCTTGCAAGGTAAGGCTCAGAACATAAGACATTTAAAAATTGGCCTATCCATGAATTTTACAAACAGAATATTTCAAATACTACAACTGAGTGCATTTTACAACTGTAGTTTAGTCCTATACAGCTACAGGCTGTACATGTATATATGAATTACCATTTCATAAAAGCTTGTACAGCTGACTGTTTGATTTATCTGTGATGTGGATAGACCTCTGTGCTTGTACATTGTATGTTTTGTTTACCCATTTTAGGTTTTGTGATATTTACCCAAAAGAACTTTTTCCTTTCTTCTCTGGTTCCGTTTTATGAGTATGAATTACTTTCTTACAATAGTCGCATTTACAATTCGTTTCAACTTTTGTCTTCTAACAAAGAGTTATTTCAAGTAAGAGAAGGGAACTAATTATTGAATCTGATTTGAAACGTTATAACATGAGAATCTTACTTGATTTTTCCAATAACAGATTTCAAATTTATTAAATCTATCAGAATTTCTTTTACATAAGAAATTGAGTATATTATTCTAATGATGTATGTGGTTCCTCCACAGCTATTTTAGAATGATTAGCTGCCTCTATGTCAACTTTGTTTCATTTATTGTCTTTTCAAAGTAGGAGTTAGTGTAGCTGGTAGTATATTTATAAATTAGTTAATAATAAAGTTCAGATATAACGCTGGCTGTCACTGGATGAAAGAATGTGCTCTATCAGAGTATAAAACATAGAGCTGAGCAAACACTGTCTGGCCATCTGCCAAATTCTACCAAAGGCCATAATTTACAATATCATAACATGAACAGAGACAAAAATCCTCAAAGAGAAACAAAATGGACAGTCTGAGTTTTGAAAGTTTTCATGCTCAGTTAGATTGCAAGCCTATGTATGGTGATAAAAATTAAGGTCTCCCCACTTAAGGAGTGGGGAGAAACACTCGACTATGTCTTGTGTTTCTCCATACTCTTCTTTGGTGCTTCAGCCACTTCCTGCGTGCTTTACGAAAGAACAGAGCACAGTCAAGGCTTCTCTATTTGTAAACCAAGCAATACATTTTTGTAGCTAATGAAACTGCTTGCTGCATTAGTTTATGGTAAACACTAAGTTACCGTTTTTTGTTGCTGATATAATTAATGAGCACTTGATCAGAGAAGATGTTAATGAGTGAGTGCTGTGTACAAACATTTAACAGGCACTAACAATTGATTTTGGCATATGAAACTAATAGCCTAAATTCTACTGGTGATTTTATAATTTGAAATTGCAGCCATTTATGATTGTCTTCGTAGTGGATACTTTGCTGTAATAACTGGATACAAACACAGTATATAGACATGAATAGTGATTGTTTATACTTATTTTTTTTCTTTTCATAAGGTTCTTTTGGGTATGGTTTACCTCATTTGTCATCGGGGCACAGTCAATCTCTTTCTTTTTCAGACATTGCTAGAAATGAAGACCCCATTCATTGGGGAAGTCACACTCAAAGTGAGTAGACCTGCAGAGCTGAGTAAGAGATCTTTTGTCCAACTGAATGACTGTTTTGGTCTTAAAAAGTGGTCAGCTTTGACAATAGTTTAAATTTTTTAATTTTTCTTTATACCTTATGTCTTGTTAAAGAACAGACAACTGCACTGTAACCATTACATGTATGTAGTAAACACAAAAGAAGTAAACATGAGTTGGCTATTCACTGCAGCTCTGTATGTTTGATTGTTATACCTAAAAATATTTTAATCGTCAAATAGCTAGGTTAATTTGACTGTTTGTTACATTTTAACAGATGAGAAATTGAACATTATTGTTGATACAGAAGAATTGAAGCCTAATGGAACCAATATGCAGATTACAACCGGAGCTGGGTTTCCTACAGAGGGAAGTGTGTCTCATTCAGGAGCAGAGAAAGTCTTGATGTCAATTGCTTTGAATTACCTGGAAACCACATCAATACAGTCAAGAGAAGACTGTGATATGTTTAGGGAATACCTGAAAGAAATTAGGCTCATTATAAAAGGTGTCTCATTAGGTTAGGTGATAACAGTGCATTGTGAATCTCTCCAAAGCTTGGAGAAATTGTGGACAGATTGTTCATCTGGTTGTCTTAGTGAAATGGTTCAAAATTGTTTTGTGACTGAAAAGATCTTGAAGGAACATAACCTGACTGAGCTGAAGCTGAAAACGACAGTGGACAGAGAAGAGTAGAATGCAAGGAAAGTTTACTTTTACAGAGTTGCACTTAGTGGTTAGTCAACATAAAGTTACACAAGGTGACTTATCTTTTCAAAAAACTAGACCCTGTGAGCAGGGTAACTGGGATACCTGGATGGTACTGGATCCTTGGGATTAGGTGTTGTGATACTACGGGTGTAGGACTAGTACAATGTATACTAAATCAAGTTGAGCTGAGTTTCTGTGGGCTTCCTTATTAGCTTGGACTTGTGATATAATCTTATCTTTGTCTGCAGGATCCAGTGTTTTATACCACTCTGCTCTGCCAGACAAACGTTTTTCTTTTTCTTCAAGATTCAATGACTTATACCATTCTGCTTTTTTTTGTTTTTGAGCGAGTTAAACCATTCTGCTCTCTTTTGTTTTTGTGTAGTACCCAGTGATTTATACTAAATTACTCTGCTAGACAAAAGATTTTGTTTTTCTGCAGAACCAAGTGATTTACACCAATCTGCCGATTTGGACAAAAGCTTTTCTTTTCCTTCGGGATCCAGTGATTTATACCATTCAGCTCTGTGAGATAAAAGCCTTTCTTTTTCTGCAAGATCAAGTGACTTGTACCATATTGCTTTATCAGACAAAACTTTTTTTTTTCATGGCAGGTTCCACTTGTGCATAGCTTTCTTTTTTCCTTTTTGCATGTAGTTCTTTCCTATGAGACTTATGTCTTGCCATTACCCTTTGTCTTCCAGCATTTGACAAATTAGTTGAACAACATATAAATTTGATACAATATTCTACATCTTTACTCTGGAATTGTTTTTTTACAATATCCACTAATGACTGAATAAGAAAATCTATGTCATTCATTTTTTCAAATATATCAAGTGTGCCATTAGGACTGAATCTTATAATATAGTACTTAACACTTTTTGCTTTTTTTTGTATTATTGTGCTGAAAAATACAGCCAAAGCAATAATTTGAAACCCAAATTAAAAACCCAATAATATGCTTAGTATTATCAGTGATTAACTTCTGAAGCAAAGATTTGCTACCAAGAGATGTAGAGTGTAGTATTCCTTGTTTCTCCAAATTGAAGACAATATCAATATCTGCATCATATATTTGAAGTGTCCTTGGAAAATTGTTGATAGTCAGTGGATGGTTATGCCATTGAGTTTTTCTTCGTAAAACTTGTTTGCATGGTCAGTGATTCTATCTAGAGTCTGAATTCCAATACCCACAATATTTGATAATGGAAAAACATGCTCTAAAAAGATGTGGCACAACAGCATAACAAGGGAATATGAATGGCTATAATTTCTGCATCTGCATGATTTGCTTTAAGGGGAACAGCTGACAACTGTTGATCAGAAATATCTGTCATATCACATTGTTTTTCATTAATATGTACACCTTTGAGTTCAAATAAAACATTTGGATTTTGATAAAGACCTTGAAAATAGTTTATCAGCTCATTTAAGGTGTTAACTTCTAACAGTACACAAGTTCCTTGAGGATGGGGCATACCATATGAATCTCTACCATGAGAATCAAATATCTTAAACTTACCATCACCATTACAGTAAAAACCTACCGTAGTACTAAGGATTGTTAAAAGAAAGGAATTATAATTTTGTCCTAGCAAAGCCTGCATAGCATTAGCAAATGACATACAATAATTGAAATCTTGTACCTCACAGGTAACATGTATAGTACCAGTATGGCTTGGACTATATTGAAGCTGATAATTAATATTAAGCACCATTATCATTTCAGGTAATTCTGTGAACAGTAAATAGGATTGCCTGGATAGACTAGATAGACCAGAATACAATTCATTACCAATGTTCATGATATTAACCAAGTCCACTGAGGATACAATACCATTCCTCTTGTTATATACGAGGGAAGCAAGTGACATGGCTACAAACTATGTACCGGCATTTAACCCAAATATTGCCACATTGTCTTGAATGTAAGGAGCTTGAATTGTTTTAGTAGAATTAATAACAGGACCAGGGTTTGGACTTAAAATGATTAACCCAGTGATTCAGATTTCTACAAACACTTGGTACTGAATTAGACCTCCATGTATTCGACTGCTTTGGCTTTGGAGTTTTTACTACATGTGGATATTGGTTTCGCATTTTCAGTATCCTTTGTTTTTTAGACTTTGGATATTTTCTCCTGACTGCAGAAGAGGGATATTTCGTTGTTCCTTTATTCTCACATCTGATTCCATGTGCATATATTTTTTCACGAGCTTTATTTGTAAAAAGATGCATTCGGGAAGACTTCGGTATGCTTTTTCTGATGTAGGTTCGAAGTAAACGTCTTACTTTCCTGGATTTCTTCAAAATACGTGTAATTCTTTTCTTTGGTATTCTGCTGGGCTCACGATCACGAACACCATGCGTACGAGGGCGATTAAAATAAACAAATTTGTCGAATCGAGATATACAGTTACAGACTGTATTTATTGAAAATTAATGCGTCATCATTGCTATTATTAGCTTATTATCATATACAATAACAGATAACTGAGCAGCTTTCTCAAGTACGTTACATTCATCCAAGCTATTAACAGCTTTTGTTAAAGACATATCAACAACTTTATGTAAAAAATTAGCCCACAAGACAATTCCGGCTGATCTCCGATGTAATAGCCACAGCTGACGTCATGAGTCGCTTACCATCGGACTTCGCATAAATATAATACTGATAAAACGGTAATTGTGTAGTTCTCGGTAGTTCTCTGGTTCTCGTGGTTCTTATACTATCGGACTTCACGTAATATAACTCTCAGTAACGGTGATTGTGTATTTCTGGTTCTTGTGGTTATCGTGGTTCCCTTTGTTTTCTTGGTTCTCTTGGTTCTTGTGGTTCTCTTGGTTCTTCTGGTTCTCGTGGTTCTTCTGGTTCTCGTGGTTCTCGTGCTTCTCGTGGTTCTCTTGGTTCTTCTGGTTCTTCTGGTTCTCTTGGTTGTCGTGGTTCCATGTTATCTTCTTCATTTCCGGTTCAAGCGGAAGTAAAAAGCGAGATTGTGCAGGCTCACATATACTTTCGCCAGTGGTATTTCCCATTAGTCAGAGATCAGCTGTGTGTCGAACGGGTTAATAAATTCACCAAAGTTGTACAAATTTAAATTTAAATTTACCAAAGTTGTGTATCTTTTGGTGGCTTTCAACATCTTGGGCTTCTCCTACGCTTACAACATACCAATTTCGGAAGCAAGTTACAGATTTATACAGCTTGTTTTGAGCATTCATTCATTCATCTGAATCGAATGCGAATTTAATATGGTTGCAACATGGTGTGGTTATTAGGGGTGATCAAAGAAGGCCAACATCCAGTAATCCTGAAGATTATGTAGTACATGATATCATACTATGGGATCCATTAAGTGTTTCTTCGAATATTACCTTATGAATGAATCAGTCTCTTAGAGCTACAAGATGGAAGGACGGGAGAACAAAATGTGATGAACCACGTCGCCTTTACGGTTTAACGAACAATGTCTTACTAGTTAGTAGAGTATATGTTTGTGACCGGAAACACCAAATAATTGCCCACGATCCCTATGTTTTGTCACAAGTTAAAGGTGTATTGCCTATTCCATTCGTCTTATTTCACAAGGCCGGAGTGACGAGAGAACTGCACAGCTTTATTATCTCTCATGCAAATGCTGGGTTGACGATTAGTGAAATTCAAATGATCTGGCTACAGACAATGTATGATGCCTATAGTTCACGAAGGGAAGCCTATATCTCTGCATGGAACAAAAATTCAAACATTTGTCTTTGTTTTCCCGAGTTTTACCAAAGATTTCAACAACCAGGTGAGAAGATCATAGCCTCTTGTATAGCCAGGAATTACTTTGAGAAGGAGCATTTATATACAAAGAGAATGTGTCAAATGACAGCCAGGAAGTGGCTAAGTTGTGATCATACGTTTAAGGTGTCTGCAAATATTGGATTTTGGTGTAATAAGAGATGGGTGAAGCTGTATGATACACTATTTATTGTCCTTAATGAGGAGGGAAATGTGTTTAGCTGGAAGCTGTGTAAAGGAACCAAGTTTTCATCTATTGAAAATGTTTTGCAACTCATAAAAGACAGGCTAGATAAACAAGGACAAAAGCCAGCAATTTTCTTTTTAGATAATTGCTGTTCTTGGCGTGCAAAGCTATCAAAGATATTTCCCAATGTAACTATGAAATTGGACCCTTTTCATGCAATACAAAGAGTTGTAAAGAAAATCCCTAAAAAGAAAGGTTGCACTGAAACAGTTAAACAGCTTCAAAGGAAAATGATACTCTCTTTAAGGCAACTTTTCCTTGATACAAAGGATAGGGGTGAACAGAGAACAATTGACACCCCCTCACCAGAAGTTATCCTGGAAAATATTGAGATTTTTATGAGGCAGTGGAGCAAAGCTGAAATAGATTCCATTCCATTGTTATCATCTAGTGCAGTAAGAGATTAATAACCTGAAACATCATGTCATCAAAGGCTGTTTGTCTGGAATACCACCATCAGGAGGGACAAATAGAAATGAAGCAATACACAAAAGTTTAAACAACTCTCTAAAACGGTCCAGGATCGGCCTATAATTGGCTCTTGCATTTCTGGGGTTATTCTTTTACAAATGGAATGAAAAGAAAATATCTTGCAAGCTTACCAACAAGAGGAAAAAAAGTTACTTATATTCAACCTGTGGAAACTTACAATGTGATGACTGAGGATTCCACAACTGATGAGCAGTTTGGTGGCTCTCTAACTATTCAGGAGAATGCAGAAGCAGCAGACTGTGAGTTTGGGGAAAACTTGTCAGACATTGATGAAGCTATTGATTGTAT